GGGGCGGGGGCGGGGCCCGGCGGAGTCGGGGTGGGCGCAGCTCTCCGGTGTCCCGCGCGCGCGGGTGCTGCCAGCCAGCCTGTGTCTGAGACGTGCCAGGTAGAGTGTCGGTGGAGTTGTCCGGTGACCTTCTGACCTTCCTGGAACTCGGGGGTTACGACTTTGGCCTGGAACGACAAACAGGTGGCCCGAGAGGGCAGGAAAGGAAAAACCTTTCGGATTTAGGGACTCGTTCAGTGGCTTCTGCGGTTCACGAACGAGACGGATGCAGGGAGTTCCTGGACGGTGCAGTGAGCCGCGCTCCGGCGTGCGGATCCCTCGGTCTAGGGGTGGAAAGCTCACTGGACGCAGACCCACCAACCAGAGAGACAGACCCGAGGGTTCTGTCCCAGGCACAGCCAGCCTGCAGGAGCCAGGGTGCACACAGACGACCAAGTTGTCTTTAGAGAGACACCCGGTTGTGAAGAAGGCATTAGCGGGTGAAGATGTGAGGGCATGGCCATGCCCAGCAGTAGATGGCCAACACAAAACGAACTCAATGGAATCTCTGGAGGTTCTGTTTCCCAATTTTGTCAGGGCTGCTTTTTTTTTGACCTTACAAGCCCTTTGTGTATATATTATGGCTTCCGGTTTTGTTTTTATGGGATTCCTGACTATATGAACGTGTGTGTGTGTGTGTGTGTGTGTGTGTGTGTGTGTGTGTGTCTGTGTTTCTCATGCTTTTTCGTTGGCTCTTTTTTCTTGTGTTTGTCTTCTCCTGTTTGTTTTCATTTTATCTCATTTTATTTTATTATTATTTAGATGCTTGAGACAGAAAGGGTGTGGATTCGGCTGGGAAGGAAAGTGGTGAGGACCTTGGAGGAGTTGGAGGAGAAGCCATATTAGAATATATTGTATGAAAAAAATCTATTTTCAATAGAAAGAAAAAGGTGTGTGGGCACAATACTGTGGGATGGTCTCTCTGTATGCTGTGAATATGTGTTGCTACCATTGGTTAACAAAGAAGCTGTTTTGGCCTATGGCAAGACAAGTTATAGCCAGATGGGAAATCCAAGAGAGATACAGGGAGAAGGAAGGTGGAGTCGAAGATGCTGAGAGGCCAGGGGAACGAGATGTAATGGAGGGGTTGGAGAGATGGCTCAGCAGTTAAGAGCACTGGCTGCTCTTCCAGAGGACCCAGGTTCAATTCCCAGCACCCACATGACAGCTAACAACTGTCTGTAACTCCAAGATCTGGCACCCTCACATAAACATACATGGGGGCAAAGCATCAATGCAAATAAAATAAAAATTTTAAAAAAGGATGTAATGGAACACAGGTAAACACAGGTTAAAGGCACAAGACACGTGGCAATACATAGATTAATAGAAATGGGTTAATTTAAGATGAGTGAGCTAGTTAGTAATAAGCCTGGGCCATAGACCAAAAGCTTGTAATTAATACAAGCCTCTGTGTTTATTTGGGACCAGATGGCTGCGGGACACAGGAAGACTTCCATCGACAGCACAGGGCTCCTGGGAAGATTTGATGTGGTGGTCTTCTCTGAAGCTCCGTTCTGCTCTCTTCCATCTTCCAGGTCATAGCTCAGATACCTCACTTCCTTCAGCATAATCTCATGGAGTCCTCTTCTCAGAAAAGCTGTCAGAGCATTGCAGTTAATTGCGCTTGTCTACACCTGATTATGTTGGTAATGTGTATGCTTAAGTATTTCTTGTCTGTCTCCCTCACATGAAACTGCCATAGATAGGGGATTTTGTCTTGTGCAAGAAACAACTGACATAAACTTGTTGAATGTATAAATAGGGTTCTTAGTCCATGACTACAGAAGAAAGACTGTTTTAACTTGGTTTTACAATATCCTCTTCCTATAGTGTGATCTTTTTTTCTTTTTTCTTTTTGGTTTTTCAAGACAGGATTTCTCTGTATAGCTTTGTGTCTTTCCTAGAACTCACTCTGTAGCCCAGGCTGGCCTCGATCTCACAGAGATCCACCTGCCTCAGCCTCCCGAGTGCTGGGATTGAAGGCGTGCACCATCACTGCCTGGCCTATAGTGCGATCTTTAATTAACTAAGCTGTGAATCAAGGTACTGTGGCTGTATTGAGAAGTCTAGAGAAACAGCTTTCAGCCTGTGGGTCACAACCCCTTTGGGGGTCAAACGACCCTTTCACAGGAGTTGCCTAAGATCATTAGAAAACACAGATACTTGCATTACAATTCATAACGTAGCAAAGTTACAGTTACGAAATAGCAACGGAAATAATTTTATGGTTGGGGGTCACCACAACATGGGGAATGGTATTAAAGAGTCACAGTGTTAGGAAGGTTGGGGACCACCGTTCTAGAGAGACAGCCAAGGAAGTGCTGAGAGAAGGGCCATCTGCATGATTTCCTAGCCAGGATTCTGGCAGGCAGAGCCTGGAGCAACAGGGATAACACTGTACGCTTTGGCACAACCGCTAGTTTTGTTTTTCCAGACAGGGTTTCTCTGAATAGTCCTGGTTGTCCTGGAACTCACTCTGTAGATCAGGCTGGCCTCGAACTTACAGAGATCCGCCTGGCTCTGCCCTCCAAGTGCTGGGATTAAAGGCACCTCCACCACTCAGCAACTAGTCGGACTTTTTTAGTGGTAAAATGATGGACCTTTTTAGTCCTCAATACACTGTATGTAAAAGGAAAGTAATCCTTTAAAAGGCCTAAATGATAGCTAAGATAGATGATAGGGAGGTAGGCAGGCAGATGGATGGATGGATGGATGGATGGATGGATGGATGGATGGATGGGCAGACAGACAGATAGATGGAGATGTGTGTGTGCCAGAGATTGACACCAGGTGTCCTCCTTTATTCCTCTCCACCTTATTTTTTGAGGCAGGGTCTCTTATTGAACCCAGAGCTCACTGACAGATTGGCTGGCCAGCAAGTGAGCTCCAGGGATCCACCTGCTTCCGCCTCCGCAGCTCTGGGACTATAGATATGTGTCTCTGCGCCCAGCTTTGACACCCGCTCTGGAGATCGGATTCAGTTTCTCGTGCTGGTCCAACAAGCACTTTACCAACTTAGGGATCTCCGCAGCTAGAGAATAGATAGTTTGTGCTTATGTTTTCATGTCACAGATTCACACATCCCACACACACATACACATCCTGTAAGTACCAATGGAGCATGGCAGAGTGTCTAACTCTGCAGTTTAATATAAAACCTTCTCAATAGTTGTGTTTAATAAGAAAAAAAATGTATGAGCCGGGCAGTGGTGGTGCACGCCTTTAATCCCAGCAATCGGGAGGCAGAGCCAGATGGATCTCTGTGAGTTCGAGGTGAGCCTAGGCTACCAAGTGAGTTCCAGGAAAGGCACAAAGCTACACAGAGAAACCCTGTCTCGAAAAACAAAAAAAAAAGTATGAAATACAAATTTAAAAATTGTGTGAAATACAAGAACTCTTCTGCTTGTTTTGTTTGTTTGTTTGTTTGTTTTTTGAGCCTTAATAAGTCCACTAAGCTAGTAGTAACCTACTAAGTCTTCTCTGGGAACCCAAATTAGACTTGTCTCCATGGACTCCCTATACCTTCTTCAGGAGAATGGCTTACACGTTTAGTATGAAATTGTTGACTCACTTGCCTCTCGTCTGAACCTCACTATAATGGCAGCAGGTGTGTCTGTCTTACTCACTGTATGCGCTGTGCTTACCACGGTGTATTGTACATGGTGGGGTATTGAGTAGATGACAAGAAAAATAAGTGAACTAAAGGACAGATGACATAGAGGTAGATGCAGAAAGATTTGGTAGCCACTTAAAATTGGGGGACTAAGGAGTGCAGTCAAGACAGCCTAAAAACTGAAGATTATGTTGTAATTATATATGTAATATTATGATGTAATTAAGTGGAGGCATCAGCAGGAGTACGGCGGATAAAGAAAATGAGTAAATATGGTCCATTTAGAATTTTATTAACTCCATCACTGTTATGCCTCTCTCACAGTGGTTAAGAGAATTCAAAATGTTTTGGTGGCATTACTTGTGGCCTGGTTTTGGTTTTCATTATTGGCGAAGGTGAAGTTTTAGGCTAGAGTACAGGAAAATTGAGATAATTAACTTCTGGAATAAGCGTTCTGCCGTGGTGCCGTGTTCATCAGAGTTAGCGTCCGCACACCCTGCAGACAGGCATCCACACCAGCTGCCGCCACCTCTACATAACTGAGACTTCAGAACTGGATACTTCCCCGCAGAAATAGAGTTGGCTCAAAGCACACAGACACCCAGGCCGTTGCGGTTCTAGCTGTGTGAGCCGCCTTCTCTTCATTCAAACTGCAAGAAGATGAAAAGGAGGAAGGAGAGAAGCTGGGCCTTTCCATGTTCAACCTTCACACCTAATTTTAGTCTTAGTCAAATTTGACACAGAGGCTGTCGTTCCGGTTTTGTTGCCACACTGAAAAAGACACTAAAATCAAGATGTTCAAAACAGAACTCAGGTGATGTTAAAGGACCCTGTTTTCTGCATTTCATATTCTGTGGAATTTCACCGGGATTCTGACACCCCAGGCTTTTCCCTTTTTCCCAGCATGCCTAGGAGTGGGGATTGCATGCCAAGGGAGGGAGGAGGAGGCAAACCCCTCCCTTTGGATACTTGCAGAAAAAGAAACTAAAACTGAGAGCTACCCAGGTTGCTGTGCTGTATACATCTCATTTGACATTTTAATCTTTATCTTCCCTGACCAGCTCAGGTGCTCGGAAATATACTTCAAAAATCATAACCCCATTCTGTGTTTCCTTTCCCCTTGAATATCGTGGGCCCTATCATACAGTTCTCTGCACATATTTAAAAAACCAGTGATAAATCAAGTCCCTTGAAGATAAGCAATTTATACCTTTGAGAAAAAAGAATGAACAAATCTTCAGGACTAGATTTCCATGTTGTAATTTTGTCAACCTTTTGTGTCTGTCTTTTGAGCTCTTGCTGTTAGCCAAATTTGGGCTAGGGTTAGACTATAGAAAAGTGTGTTAACGATATTTATAAATAGAACAAGAAATAAGCTGAGTATTTAAAAAACAAAAAACAGGCCGGGCGGTGGTGGCGCACGCCTTTAATCCCAGCACTCGGGAGGCAGAGCCAGGCGGATCTCTATGAGTTCGAGGCCAGCCTGGGCTACCAAGCGAGTTCCAGAAAAGGCGCAAAGCTACACAGAGAAACCCTGTCTCGAAAAACTAAAAAAAAAAAAAAAAAAAAAACAGCTTGACCCACTAGATTGTAGAGAGACTCAGAATTCTAGAGATCATGTGGTAATGTACACAAAGGTCAAGGTGCTGCAGTGATCTGCTAAAAGTCACTGAACATGCTTTGAATACTGTATATGATCTATGTGATCCATACCTTGGAGAGAAAGCCTCCTCTGTGCCTGCAGGCTTTCTTTGAGGCATATCGACTATTATGGTTTGTTTGTAATCAAGATTTGTTTGTACTATTTTTTGTGTATGTGTATGATTATATGTGTGTGTTGTGTACCTGTGTGAATATATGCTGTGTGTGTGCATGCGCAGGCTCAAGAAAGCAAGAAGAGAGCATCTGACCCTCTGGAGCTAGAGTCACAGGTGGTCGTGGGTGCTGGGAACTGAACTCTGGTCCTCTGGAAAAGCAGAAATGCTTTTAACTGCTGAGCCATCTCTCCAGCCCCTTAAAAGAGTGTTAATGGAGTGATAATGCAAATACTACATTGGTTATTAAATGGAAAATCTGTTATCCCATAAGATAGTCCTCAATCAGTAATACTGGTATTGTTCTCAAATGTTTGCCTCAAAATCTCTTCAGTCTCTTAGTTACAGTTTTTAGATTATTTCCATGATTTTTACGACAAGGTCAGAATTCTATTCCCCATAACACCCAAACTTGATATTTCCTCTAACATCTGAGCCTTCTTTGTTCATGGCGTTGTCACACCTCAGCTTCAGCATTGTCTCAGGCCTCAGTAATCCCAAGAGGACACTTTCCTCAAGAAAGAGATGATGAATAGTGCGCCCTGGACACTGTCGCTCTACTCCTTCACGACACACACCCTGGACTCCACACCTGGCTTCCCCGATGTCTTCCACACGCTCGGTCATCTTTTGTTGGCAGGGAGTCAATTCACATGATCCTGATCAGTATTTTTAGAGAATGTGAACAGAACAGAAAATACCTATTCTATATGTAGAGTTTTGCATGCAGATTTTTTTTGGTGAAATATAAGTATTATAAAATCTAGGCTGTACCCACATATGCAAATATGCACATCTGTGTGAATAGATGCATTTGAAACTGAAGGAAAACCTACATAGCCCCACTGGCTTCACATGTTTTTAATTACTTACTTGGTTCATCAGTTTCAGAGGCCCCATAGCTAGCTAGTGGATTCCCATTAGCTTTACTATCCATAATTCCTCTGCTATATGGTCACTGTGATAATGTTGCTCCCACTGTTTTCAAAAACGTGGTGACTGCTTTTTATCTCAAACCAGTTGACATCACTCGGCCTGTTGCAGTGGCCATGGAATTATCAGTTTCCACAGCTTAAATGTTGGACATCTACTTTAGAAGTGTCAATAAAAACTCAAAAGATTTTTGTCACCTACATTTCATGGAAAAGATCTGGTTTTTTGTCACAATTAAGCCACTGTCTTTCTTATGTTGCACTCTGTGCATGATTTAACCTTGTTCTTTAGGCCTTCCTTAGGCAAGACATCATTGGCCTTCTCTAAATACTGCAGTAGTCATTTGCGGGGCATTTACCCACCAACCCCACAGCTCCCCAGAGTTTTCTTGAGTGTGAGCAGCAGGAAATATTAGATAGAAGGATTTAGAGTGTGGAGATAAACAGATAGAAAATAAAGGATCGCCTCGAGAGGGCCTGGAACCTTTTCCAACAGGCCCCGACTGTCTCTGCCTCAGGGTATTT